GGCCTCGGGGGTAATGTGGCTGTTTCTCTGTGGAGCCGCTAGGACAAGGAAGCCCGCAGGGTTTGAGTAAGGCGAGGGAATGCTCTGGCGTTGGGACTCAAAGGAAGCAGCCTTGAGGGCTGTGCTCGGAAGGAGACTGCTGGCAGCTCCTTGATTACGGTCGTTGCTATGCTGTGTGTAGGCGAGTGGGTAACGGGAGCAGGCTGACGTTGTACACTCGTGCCAGACGCTTTAGAACGCCACGAAACAAGCAGCTAAATTTAATGTTAGATTTCCACATGTATAAGAATAGTAGTTTAGTCAGCAGTATTAGGAAGGCAAATTCAACAGATCACAGCATAGATTCTTATATCCTTTGAAGTATCTTGTTCTGGCTACGGTTGGTCAGTGTGTATGGAATACCTGGTGTGCCAATGCCCAGGTTTCATGTAATTAACTGGCTGAAGATTGCAGGCACAGCTCAGCGTGAGGCAACAGTTGTAGGTGGAGAAAAAAAGTATAATAAACACCTAAATTGGAAATACGTATTTTTGGCTTAACCAAAATTTTATTACCACTTTGTTTCAAATAGAACAAATATTTAGAAGATTTTAGGAAAAAACTGTTGCTAAGGGTAAGCATGTTACTACCTATGTATAAGTAGCAGCTAGGGAGAAGCAAAACTAGTGCATCAGGGCACCTACACAGCTGTTTACTCCTGTGGATGAAAAGCCACTTCTGCTCTGGTAGCATTAGTTCACTAGTAATCATGCAGTGTGTTTTTTCTTTTTTTTTTAATAAGACTTGCCCATAATTATGGACAACACATTGTGTTGTGGAAGTCATTAGCTTTGTTTGGCCAATAATTTATTTATATTTTTATAAAAAATAACATTTTATATATTTTATGCTATTAGGTTATCGTTGTACTGGATGATAAAAAATAAAAAATCTAGTCCTTTTTCTCTCTTAAACATTGTGTGTATACTATCTCAAGAAATAGATTATTTATCCTTATGTGAGGATTGTAACTGATCTTGAAGCTCTTTCAATATAAAGGTTATAGTTAGCAACCATTCATGGCTTTCTTTGTCTAAGTTAGTATTTAGTTCATCATGAATTACTTAATCATGATCATATTCTAAATACGTTTGCTTCATCCTTTCAGCTTTTTGTGCTATGGACGGTACAAATGTGGGGATTTTTTTCTGAATTGTAACCAGGAATTATTTTAAGGTTACTTTATACTTATGACTTGATGTTTCTATAACAATAAGATACCTTTCACTTAAGACTCTAAAATTAAGACAACAAAATTTATGAAGACTAGTCAGTACTAATGATTATTGAACAGCATTTTAGGGACTTGGAGGGCTACAGATGTGTGCAAAGATCATATTCAAAGGATATTCTGAACTTGTAATTCACTAGACTTCATAATAAAGCACCGTGCATTTACTCATTCTTGTGCTAAAAAAGTGTGTGTATTTAAGCGTACATACTTGCAGGGGCTGAAAGTGCTTTTGGGGATTGGTTTGTCAGATGTCTTGTTTCTGTTTAGATAGAAGGCAGCAGGTGTATCTTAATTGTCTTTTTTTTTAAAACTGAAACTTAATATTTTAAGTTTTTCTTCATTCTGTCGTCTGGGAAACAGTACAGAAATTGCTTTAAACTAAAATTGCCTTGTTATCACTTTCAGGATTTTCATGGACTTATTGAGCCCTTTACCTCACACTTGGTTATGAAAGCATGTTAGGAAAGAAGTGTTTATTCTCACAGAATGTTATCTAAATAACATGGTTTCCCATTATTTTTTCAGACATCTGAATTGTGTTTCTTCTTACTCTCTTACTGTTTAATGTTCCTACTATGCTATTAGGTTGCCTGTCTTGCATGTAAGTCAGACTTCTTCATTTTGAAGCAGCTAGCTTCCTTCAGTACATATTTTTGAGTTTTCTTCTTGGAATTTGGCAGACTACAATGAGTGCACCAAATAAAGCACTAGAACTACAGCTGCAAATGAAGCAAAATGCTGAAGAGCTGCAGGATTTTATGAGAGAATTGGAGAACTGGGAGAAAGATATTAAAGAAGTGGATTCTGAACTAAGGAAACGGAGTGGTGTCCCAGAAGAGGTAGAAATCACAAGTGCAGCATCAATATTAACTCAGCTAATCGTAATGTGGTAGTGCTTGTAATAATTACTTTTTGCTTCAGCAGAATTACGTGTTGGCTTAAAATATTTGAATAGAAGGTGTGAGCTAACCCAGCTGACTTGTTTATTATCTGAAGCAGACCAAAGATTCTTCTACAAGCTCTTCCACCAACAGAGCTGTGGGGCAGTAGCCTCTGGAAGTGATGGGGCCAGTAAATTTTTCATCCGTTTCAGGGAGAGCTAGGAGAATATTTGTTTGCAGCATCAGTATCACTTATTTATTGCTGACTTTTAATGTATTGATGTTATTCTTCAGTGATAATCTACAGAGAGTTTTCTTCTAAAACTTAACTTTGTATCATAATATTTGCCATTATTATGTATTGAAAGATTTATACTTTCTGTCCTTAGTGGTTTTGTAGAGTTTCTAAGAACAACTTGATGGATGGATTTCTGAAATAAAACTAGCCAGTAGATACAGATAATATATCTAGATACAGGTACTATATATTCTTCAATACAAGTGAATTTCACTCATCAGTTACGTATTACTTATTTCAATTTAGAATTTGCCACCAATTCGAAACAAGGCTTTAAAGAAAAAGAAGAGAAGCAAAAGTAAAGTCCCTTCAAAGATAACCACAGAGGAAAACAAGAAAAACAAGATCAAGTCTTATGATTATGAAGCATGGGGAAAACTTGATGTGGTGAGTCAGAATATTTACTTGTCAGCTTAGTCTTGTCCCCAGTTGATTCTGTCTTATAAATAAGATTTTCATATAGTGCTGAGAGTTCGGTCCTCAAGTCAGTATCTTACTGTGCTGGGTACTGTTTGAACATAGATACTAGCTTTCTTCCAAAATCTTTATATATTTAAAATTTGGAATATTGAGAAATACTAGTTCTATGTCGACTCTGCTTTCATGCAACAGATTTAATTTGACTTTAAGGGGAAAAAATATGGTTTAGCAGTAGGTCTATTGAAAAGCCATATAAGACTAAACACAGCTGGCAGTATGAGAGATTAAGTCTCTTAGTTTTGAAGTGTGGAATATTCCTTGGTTAAAAGTACTTAAGCAGGAGAGATTTTTTTAAAAAACATACTACTAGTTCTCTTAGTCTTACTTGATTTATTTTATATTGTTAAATTATAACATAGATGATTATTTCTATGTGATTTCAGGATAAAATACTTGAAGAACTTGATAAAGAAGATAGTACTCATGATTCTGTATCTCCAGAATCAGACTCTGAGGAAGATGGAATCCGTATAGATGCAAAAAAAGCTCTTGCAGAGAAGGAAAAGGTTACAGCTTTCTAACTGTCTGTTATACTTAGTACTGGGGCCAGTTCTTTTTAATGTCTTTACCAATGATCTGGACAAGGGGATTGAGTGCACCCTCAGCAAGTTTGCAGAAAACACCAAGTTTGGTGGGAGTGTTGATCTGCCTGAGGGTAGACAGGCTCTGCTGAGGGATCTGGACAGACTGAATCAATGGCCTGAGGCCAGTTTTATGAAGTTCAACAAGGTCAAGTACGGGATCCTGCACTTGAGTCACAATAACCCCATGCAATGCTGCAGACTTGGGGAAGAGC